TGTGCAAAATGATGTAAAAATAAACTTTTTAATAAAAAAAAATTCTTGCAATTCATAGAAACAAAAATCTAATTAAAAAATTTTAAATACACATTTTAGAGAATATACAAATTGTCAATAAGACTAAAGAAGGATGTTCAATGTTATTAGTCACCAGGAAAATGCAAATCAAAACTATGATGAGATACAATTATATATCTATTAGAAGAACTATTACAAACACTATATAAAAATTGACAAGGAAATGAAGCAAGCAATTGGAAATCTCATATTGCTGTGGGAATAAAAAATGATACAACCACTTTGGATGATACTATGACAATATCCTATGAAGTTAAATGTATAGAAACATTATATCCAAGAAGCTTACTCCTGGATATTTACCCAGGAGAAATAAATAAAATGAAAACACCTATCTATTCAAAGATTTATACACAAATGCTCACATCAATATTAAGATCGTTTTGAGGGTAAACAGTTAATGTACTTCCACATTTGCTTTCTAATTAAAAGAGGAAGACAAAACTGCATCACAGCTTAACCTGCAAGATCTTTGATGGAACTCTATGACACTTATTTATTTTAAATTCAGGCAAATCTTCCCTAACTTTCCCGGGTCTGGTTATCGTACTTTCTGAATTACTGCTTGATCACTATTACATACAAAGACCTGGTGTTTAAGCTGGTAGATAAAGGATAGGTATGATATAGAAGTATGGAGCCAACAGCTGAAGTTGCTTTTTTAATCTTAATGCCATATGATAATGGCCATCACTTAACTAGGTACTGTTTAAGTAACTCAGGCCCAAGAATAAAAGGCTGGCAGCAATGATTTCAAAAAAAGATTAAAAAAAAAACAAAAAAAAACAAAGTATCAGTTTCCCATTTCAAATAGTACTTTTATTCATATTCTCAGAAATATCTAACAAAAGAGCAAATTCTATTACTTTCAGTTAGGACTGCTGAGTTCTAATATGGTTCCCAGATCTCTTATTTGTACAAAAGAACAAACTCACAAAATATGCTTGCAGCATCATATTTTATTAAATCTATGCTTTTATTTAAAATTTCCAACTTGCATGAATAAACAAAGCTCAAAAAGGTTACATTTGTTGCACAAACTATGAAATGACAGAGCTCTGATTTAAAATGAGAATATTCTAACTCTAAATTCCATGCTCTTAAACATGTTGTCATGCTCAAAAGGGAAAACTTAATCTCTGAGAGGTACTAATATATACATGGGTGATATATGAGAGCTAACTTTTTAAAATTCCACTTACCTTCAGGGGACGAAGAACGCCACAAAATTTTGTCCAACAGCTGTTTTCAATGAATTCTAAATGCCTCTCTCTTTTCCTAAGTGTCCGTAACCTTTCCTCAAATTGTTTTAAGGCTCGTTTATCCCTTGCTGACAAAGGCCGACCATCTTTGCTCTGCAAATAATGAGACAAAATAAAAGTCGTGTTTTTAACCAAGAAGGTCTTAATAAAGTACCCATCAGATTTAAGTCAGACAACAAAAACTTTTAGGTGGACACACTGCAGGCAAATTTAAATTAAAAAAAAAAAAGACAACTTTTATGTGTCAATACACATGTCAGAACAAAGGTCAGCACCAAAACATGCACATGTGTGCATTAAGACTGAAAGTACACTTATTCTTTGTTTTCCAAGTTATGTGGTAAAGTTATGCGGAAAGAGATGCATATTATTTTAAAGATTTATTTATTTATGCATACAAGAGGCTGGGGTATAAGCCAGAGGTACAGCGGTGAGAGAATTCACCACAGATAGAGTGGAAACAGAACAGGTAGATCTACTGAAATACATTGCTGAGGGGAGCAATGGGCAAGACAAGAAAGGTCTGCTTTGCCATTCGGATAAGCTCCATGGCTTGGATCCAACTTAGGCCACAGTGGTATTAGCATGACAACACTGAGACTTAACCCCTATATCACCAGGGAGGCCCCTAGAGATACATATTTTAAAAACATCTTTTTTTAGGGTAATATATGCCTTTTGCCAATTATTCTTCCTTACCTTCCAACTGCCCTTTATCCCTTATCTCAATGTTTTTGACCCTGTAATTTTCTCTCTGGTCAAGCAACTGTGATAAAGTATATTTGAACTGGTATTTTCAGCACCTAATTCAAATAGCAAAGCGATATAATACCAGCATATGCTATGCAGAGGTTTTTATAACAATTACTAAGAACTGGTACTTTTTGTTTCTAAAAATGTTTGCAAATAAGTCATGTTTTCTTTGCCTATGTTACTGTCAGAAAACTCCCTTCTATTTTTGTTTTATTCTACCCACCATTCCCTTCTATTTTTTTTTTAAAGATTTATTTGTGCACACAAAACTGGGGTACAGGCCAGAGGTGCAGGGACAGTGAAAGGATTCACCAGAGACAGAGTGGGGGGCAGAACAAGTAGACTGACAAAGTACACTGGTGAGGGGAGCAGCGGGCGGGTCAAGAAAGGTCTGCCATTCCATGTGGGTCATCTCTGGCGCCAGGGATCAACTCGTACTGAAGTGGCTTTAGCTTCTTAGTGCTGTGCTTTAACCTCCTGTGCCACCAGTTCAATAAATACTGTATTGAACTATAAATATTATACCACATATACACTTTCTCAAGAACTTTTCTGCCCCTAAATGTCTTCAATTGGGTACAATAATAAGCTCCAATAATAATACAGCCATTAAATACAAAATGGTGAAATAGCATTAATGCTATTATTGGAAGGAACAAGAGAAATATTTACTATGAACTACATTTTGAAAGAATAGAGAGATTAGATATTATAATGTTAATATCCCTATTAAGCTTTCAATATGCCCTTAGCAGATAAACAATATATTGCATAACTGAGAGCAATCTCAAATGGAAATCACAGATATAATGAAGAATATACTCAAATGCCCTTTAATAACATTTTACTCTTATACTAATACCTTTACATAATGGCACTATGATAGTCCTCTGAAAGTAACCATCATTCTCTTCCATATCTTGCTTACTTCTCAGGCTTTATTATGCATAACCACCACCAGGAAGTTTGTTAAAAAAGGTTTTTCTAGACCCTACCCCCAGTAGAATATGATTTAGAGGTCTTGGGTAGCACCCAGAATCTGCAATTCTACCAAATTCCCAGAAGAAGTGCTTTCTATTGGTCAGCAGACTAAATACAGTAGGCAGTTAATTATGTTCCTTTTCTATAAGTCAAGGAAAGGAACAAATTGGGTATTGTCAATTTGTATTCCAAAAAAGGAACCTTTCAGAAAGGTATTTTGTGAAGGGCAGAAGAATAAAATACTCCCCTATAAAAGATGAATTTAGATAATAACATTTCAAGTATGTGGTATGAGAAGGGTTCAGCACTTTATATCATAATTCTTCAGCATTTCTCAAAACTGCCATTCTAATATTAAAAGGATACCAACAAAGAGGTAATTTTATTTCACTGCTGGTTTTTACTATTTCAGGGGGAAAAAAATCAGTACTCATTAAAGGGTCCTCAAATATCAAACTCAAGTTATCTATCTGGTGAGTGCTTCAATACAGTAGGTAACGGCTATCTATTCTGCTTAGCCAATTGACCATAATTATGGTCACAGAAATTTAACACTCATGAGAAAAGCAGTAGTGGACAAATTATCTCATTGGGGGGGGGGGGGTGATGTTTCATAAAGTAGCTAAATACATCTTAGTTTTGAAAAAAAAGTCTAAAATGTGAAAGCTTCCCTTTACATTGTTCAAACCACACTTCTCTTTTCTGTGGTTGTAATATACTGGTTAAGCAAACCAATATTTCTTCTATGTGTCTCATGTATTTATACATGTGCTTATAGTCAATGCATAATGGCTAACATATCTTGAATAACTTTTATACCTAAAACTGATCTGTTCTTTTACATATAATCCCCTGAAATGTTCAGTATAAAACTCTGAAGTGGGTAGCCATGTTATAATCATTTATTAAATGAGCAAAATAAGATCTTTAAATAGTAAATATAAAATGAATAGAGTCAGATTTTGAATTTAGAAAATCTGACTTTTTAAGACACATTCTTCAAGCTCAGTAAATTTACTTCATTCCTTTTCAAAATGATGCCTCAATTTAACAAATGTCTTAATTTTGAACATCTATTTTTTTCTGGGAGTGGAAAGTATTAATAATGTGTAAGATATCATTGTTCACTTGGGTATAGGTGTGTATATAATTCACATTCTTACATGTGAATTATTAAACTTTAATTATTAAAAGGTATGTGTTTGTATTACAGGTTCATGTCACAAGATTCAATTTTCTTTAAAAGTTATATATTCTACAGTTCTCACAGAGTATCCCCAGATTCTCATCAAAACTTGACAAATTAAACTTTTTAAGATTTATAAAGGATTAAGATGACTTGCTCTAAAGAAAGTTTATTCAAGAAATGGTGCTGGGAAAACTGGCGTGCTACGTGCAAAAAAAAAAAAGGCGCTAGATCACTTCTTCGTACCATATACAAAAACCACCTCAAAGTGGATTAAAGAACTAGACATCAGACCTGAAACCATAAAATATCTAGAAGAAAAGGTGGGTGAAACACTACATAACATACATCTCAGTAACATCTTTAAAGATACATCACCCAAAGGAAGGATAGTGAAGGAAAGGATAAATAGCTGGGACTCCATCAAGTTAAAGAGCTCTGTACAGCAAGAGACACTACACAAAATAGACACCCCCACTGATTGGGAGAAAATTTTTACACAATACTAATGATAAAGGACTGATCACAAAGATATACAAAGAGCAGATGAACTCAAAAAATATAAAGTGAACAACCCTGTCAAAAAATGGGCAGAATAGCTAAAAAAGATACTTCTCAAAAGAGGAAATGCAGAAAGCCAGCAGGCATATGAAAAAATGTTCAGCATCACCTGTAATAAGGGAAATGCAAATCAAAACTACAATAAGATACCATCTCCTACCAGTGAGAATGGCACATATTTAGAAAACTAACAACAACAAATTCTGGCAAGGTTGTAGAGAAAGATATTTTCCATACTGCGGGTAAAATGCTAACTGATACAACCACTATGGAAAGCTGTGTGGAGGTTTCTCAAATTGCTAAAAAAGGAGCTTCCATATGATCCAGCAATTCCACTCCTAGGTATCACCCAAAAGACACAAAAACATTAATTCAAAAAGACACCGGCATCCCTATGTTTATTGCTACTGTATTTACAACAGGGAAGATGTGGTATCGACCCAAATGCCCCAAAATAGATAACTGGATCAAGAAGGTGTAGTACATATACACAATGGAATATTACTTAGCAATCAAAAAAGACAATCATTTGCAGCAACAATGGAGCTAGAAAAGATAATGCTTAGTGAAATAAACCAGAAAGGTAAAGAAAAATACTAGATGGTTTCATTCATAGCAGGAGTGCAAGGGATCGGAGGGGCGGGGAGGAGGAATATATATATATATATACACACATATGTATAAAACACATGTTTATATAGTGATTGTAATAAAGCAAAAACAAACATCAACTAACAACTATAAGCCAGAGACATAGGGGAGGAGAAGGACACAGGATTAAAACTGGGGCAGGAAGCACACACTGGACTATGGTGATGGCACACGGGTGAATTGGTGGTAGTAAATTCACAGGGATTACAACGAAGATGAAAAATGTACAAAATGAAGAATGATGTAAAAATATATATATTAAAACAAACTGACTTGTTCTAATTATCGCATTTCTGATTACAAAAATGACCAACCATTCTGATTCCAGCATTGAAAGTTGCTGCCTTGAGAGGAAGCAGTGTTGGGAGTAGTGTGGGATGAGAGAAATTATTCAAAGTCCATGTGATGTGATGAGAAGCTACACCAGAAGTAATGTGTCGATCCCATTAAAAGGCAGTCTTGAATTTACTGTAGTCAGATACAAAGGTGGGATAAGGATGTAAGAAGTGTACATGTGTGTGATATGATATTAGGGATATAAGTAAGCTAGGGTGGAGTGAGTAAGGGCTAATGCCTGGGTGGCTCCATTATTTCTGTCAGTGAAGCATGTTATCTCAATTCTAATATCTGCCTGCTGCATTTAGTAGATACTGGTTTTCCAGTATGTTCCTCCACCAGAACATATTTTGCCCTTGGTGACAGGCCTCCTGCATGACCCTATACCTAGCTGACAAGCAGGAATTCTGGTCACCAAGACAATATCCCTGAGAATAAAGAGGGCTTGTGTAAGGTAAATCAAAGTGACCAGGATTTTCCCACCCTCCTGGCATTAGCCTCAATGATTGACACTTTTGGTTTTACACGTGTGCCTGATGGTGGGACCTGGAGTGCAGTATGGGTGTGCATGAGTGGGTGCACAAGGCAGACATGGCGCATATAAAGGCGGCAGCATAGAGGTGCAAGCAACAGAGAACAGGAGGCAGAGGATGGAGCAGCAGGGTGCAGTAGAGACCACTACAGAAAGCCAGTGAGCCCAGAAAGAGTGAAGATTCCCAGGAACTAAGAAGCCTGCCACCTCCTGAACCCTCCCAACCCTCTCCCAACCCACCTCGACCTGCCCTGCACCTGGGTGCCTCACTACAGAATGTGTAGAAAGATCATTAAAAAGTCACTCAGGGTTCCAGGACTCCTCCTCTACCCAACTGCCTGGATTATAGAGAAACTGCTCTGTGCCTTGCTGGCACTACAGCTGCATATCTTACAGAAAGTGTCCTGTTCTGTACAACTCATAAGACACCGTACCAACCAGGATGCTTCATCAACCAACTTAAAACTAATGAGCTGACATAGCAGGAGTATAAAGGAACCAGGTGAGAAAATAATAAAAATAATAATGAACAACTATATACCAGAGACATTTTATGGGGATGGAATGGGGATTGGATCAAAAACGGTGGGGGGGAGGGAAGTGTACTGGACTATAGTGATGGCACACGGTTGATTTACTGATGGGAAGTCCATGGGAATTACAACTGAGATGGAAAAAAGGCACAAAATGTTGTAAAAATAAACTATTACATTATTAAGAAAAAAAAAAACTAATGAGCTGAAGCATCATTTCATACTTTCACTTTAGAGTTTAAATTATTCTTCAGAAAATTGTTAGGGGCCTCCCTGGTGGGTTCAATATTAGGGCTATCAGGTTATCACCAGCAACTGTGGCATGAATTCGAGCCTTGGCCAGAGTGCAGCAGACTTCTCCCATCTCCCCCGCTGCTCCCCTCAGTAGTGTATTTCAGTAGAACACCAGTTCTGCTCCCCATTCTTTCTCTGGTGAATCCTCTCACCCCACCCCCGCACCTCAGTTCTTGTATGCATAAATAAATAAAAATAAATCCTTTAAAAAAAAAGAAAGCTGTTTATTTAAACCCTTTGTTTGTTAATAACTATATATGTTCTTTATATATAACCTATACTACAGATCATTTCCTTCCATATTATTGTTGGTTCTTTAATTTCCTTTTTGTTGCCCTTTGAAAACGGTCACCATCAAAATAAAGTTTTAGTTTTAATTCTCCTAATGCTTTGCAAATTTTATGTTTCACTTGAATTCAGGATTCAAGGATTTTGATAGATGACAGGTTTATGCAAATTTCATTTTTTTGTGATTATTAATCGAATTTCTACCTACATTTATACAAAACTACCGTCTCTACAATATTGAATCTTCCAATTAGAAACTAATGGAATTTTCCACTTACTTTAGTGTTTTACTAAGTATTTCAGTAAATTATAAAATTTCTGCCAGGAAGATGTTGACACTTCTTACTATTTTATAGTATATAGCTATTGTGAACACGATCATTGTCTATGACATCAGTGCTCCAACTGGCTAATACTTCAGGTTTGTATCAAGGTCGCTTGATGAACTATAGCTCATTCTATTAGTTTGTCAGTTGATTTTTATAGATTTTCTTGATGAGTATATATAAATATAAAAGCTATTTTCCTTGTCTCACATTCCTCTCCAACATTCACACTTAGTTTTCTCTTACCTGACCAAGACTGCCAGTAATATGCTAAAGAGCAATGATACTGACATCATTATTCTACACCTGACTTTAATGTAAATATTTCTATTATTTTACCACTAAGTATGATGTTCTTTATAGATTTCCTCTGTTAAGTACTTTCTTCTCTTCATCTAATTTGATAAGACTTTAAAAAAAACATAGCCACAAATTAATTTTTGCCAAATATTCTTTGGCATCTATTAAGATGTTTATCCCCTGAAATTAATAAAATGTTATATGATCATTATATCTCAAATCCTCACTCTCCAAAAGTAGTACATCATTGACTCAATATATCAAGCTATTATCTTCTAAAGTATCACCTTTGCATTTCAGGATAAACCTAATGTGATAACTATTAAATATTCTCTTATAGTAGAGGCTTTCAACTGCCAATGCTCTTATTTATATTAAAACGTTTGCCTCTATTTTCATAAGAAGACTACGCTTTCTTTTTGTGTGTCATTATTTCCTGGTTTCATATCAGAATTACACGAGCTTAATAGAATTCAGGGGACTTTACATTTTCCCCAATTTTCTATTAGTAAGATGTATATGTTACTTGGATGTAATTGAAGGAAGAAATATTATTACTGTATTTCTTGAAAGTACACTTAATTGGCAAGGGTTACATTTAATCTTTAGTTTATACAACTAGTTCATAAATGTGAACAATGGTAGTAGAGTAAAATGTGACATTACACCTAGAATCGGCACACCTGTGAACTAGCAAGTTCTTGATCATACATCAGTAGAACTTTTGTTTTTAGTAGTCAGGACACAAAAGGAATTCTCAAACTACCCCTGCTCTACATTTCACAGAAGACAATGGGTTTGCCAAGATTCTAAGTCACATCAGAAAGCAGCTTAAAGACAAAGCACTTTTATACTTCCAAATTAAATAAAATACTAACTCACTTTTGACTTGATTGCTTGAATATGCTGCTCTACTTCTTCAATATCTTCAGTGTTTTCTAAACGTTCATAAGCAGCGCTTCTAGTGCCTTTTATCAAATTTAAAGGTAATGCTGACATGCCATATGCCTAAAAGAAACAAAAGTTTGTTTTAGCAACACTACTTTAAACATCTTATATACAACTATCAGGTAAAACTATCTCTGTAGTAATTACAGAAAGAGTAAGCAGTTGTGAAAGGGTATAGTCACTGAAGAAATGGTACGTATGATAAATTATGTATATGTTGTCTCATAATTCTTTACCTGTATGTTCTAACTATTCCCAGAATAGAAAATACCAGTTCCTCAAAGGGCAAGCTGCATAATTAATGTAAATATAGTATCTTATCAAAGTAGTAAGTGAGAACATCAGGCTAACCAGTGGTTAAGAAGATAAATAAGTAAAAACAATTTGCAAAATTATTTGCTATGGAGAAAAAAAAAACAATTTTCTCCAAGTATATATAGTAAACCCTTAGTAAAACATAGCATTATAATAAACACATGTTGTTTAATTAGCATACCATTATCTATACAGGTCATACAAGTTCTCAATATCTATCACCATTCTTTTACTAAGTATATGATTTGGAAGATGTACTTTATTTATTTATGCATGCAGGAACTGGAGTCTACTTAGTTAGAAAGAAGAGGTATGCTGCACTATCAGGTAGCTAGTTAACTGCGCCACCAGGAAGGTCCCTAAGTATTTTAAATATTTTCCTAAAAATAAATTTTAACTATTAATCAGCATTAAAAATAAACATAACATTTTATACTATACAATTCTACATTAGCCTGTCACAAGTGATGACTTTTATTGGAACCATTAAAAACACTCAATAGCACATGCCATACTACCATTATTCAAAATCATCATTGATCTTAAAACAAAAGCAAAATTCACAACTAATTTAGCAACATGTGCTAAAACAGATACAAAATTATCATGTGAATTGTTTTAATTTCTTCCTGAGCATACAGTCAAACTATGATCAGGTTCCCCTAAGGTTAGGTACAATCAAAGGATTGAGTTCAGGACAATGATTGTAGGAAAAAGTAATAAATGTTATTTCATAAGCTTAATTCCATAACAAATATATTGTGGGAGATCCTGTGTGTTTACTTTCATGATTTCTGTTTCCTGGATATCAAATTCCAAGATGATCTCAAATATCTTAATTGTCCATTTTGGTGACTTTAATATTCTTCTGTGAATATCCAGAGATATTGACTAAATGAACTCATTAAATAACAAATCAAAAGTAACACATAATTCTGATAAATGAAGTTTCTTTTTAAAAAATTCAGGAGAATATGACTAAAAGGGAAAACATACAGATGAATTATCCTTACCGCATATTATGTTTAGGTGATCATGACATGAAATTAGCCAATATGCAAATCCTTGTATTTACTGAAGAAGAAATACCTAAAATCTTGCCTTTTAAATATATTTAAAACATATGTTATTGTTTTCATAATTTCCCTATCATCCAAAATAAGGCAGGGAATGTTTTGTTACAAGAAAAATGTAATTTTGACTAGAGATTTCCAAGAATTGAGTAATTCTTGTCAAATTTATACTTGTAATATAAAAAGAAAAAGTATAATCAGGTTTTAATTTTATGAATTTAACACTAATTTTTATATCCTCAAAACACTGAAATATGAATTGAAATCCAAAGTGCTTCAACAAGTCTTGTGTTATATATCATGTGCAAGTCATTCCATTTCTCTGAAAAACAAGATGTCTCCTCCCCAGTGAAGACAATCTCTGTCCATGTTTCATGCCTTGTTATATTCTTGTCCCACGAATTTCTACAAATCATCTCATCTCTTCTGCGATTTTGACTTCTACTCTGCCCATGAAGTTGAACAATGTTCCACCAAAAATCTGAGAACATGTCCTCTATGTCACTGCCTTCCTGAAGACCTTGATCTGCATATAACTCCTGCTTCTCAGGATTTGACAGTACTTTAGAGGCAAAGCTTATTTCTCTGAATTTGTCATATTACTTGACTAAATTTCTGTATGCTTTCAATTTATTCATGCTAATCCAAGGCAGGACTCTTACAATATTGAAAAGATTGGTTTAGGCCACATTAGCCATGGTGGTTGACCACGCAGGCATTACGAGAGAAAAAAGGCAGCAGAACTGAGGAGTCGGCCCCAGAATTACTGTCATAAAAGCAGACTTTAATGATCTAATCCTTGCATACACAGCCCTTCATAGCCTAATCCTTACCAATCTTATCTCATGACTCTGAATTGTCTGCTATTCTTAAAACACTTCACTTTTATACTACTTTAAGCTTTGTAATTATCTATACTTTGGAGGCACCTTGGTACATGCAGTGCCCTCATCTAGAATGCCTATCATCTTACTGGGCTTCATTAGCAAATTTCAGTGCCTTCAGGTCTCAGTTTAATTACATGACATCTGAGGAGCCTTTCTTGACTTGTAAATGTATCTTGCTAATAAGTCAATTATAGCATATAACATTGTACATTTGCACGATTGGCCTGCACATAATTGTTTGATCAGTAGATCTGCCAAACTTGGCTAATCAGATTCACCCAGAAAGTACTTTAAAATACAGATTCCTCAGCAAATGTGGTAAACTACTTGATAATGACCTTGAACTAGGTCTTAATTCATTTTCCTCCTATCTTTATTGTAAGAACAAACATATTAAAATTGATACTGTTAACCAAAGAAAGAGCTCTTTATTCAGGTTATATATTTCTTATTTAAAATTCATGTATTTATTAAAATCCCTAAATGACTAAATATAAAAGATTTTAGAAAATAAAAATAGATGGCCTAGATCCTACAAATATTTCATGGTAAAATGGGGAAAGAATATGACAACTTTTTTTGTAAATTTTTAATTTTCTGAGGAAGTACATAAACAAGTATCACTGTTCTGGTTACCTAGATTTTAGCTTCTATTTAGACTGCATTTTTATTTACTTATTTATTTTTGGGATTGCAATTTTAAGTTTTATTGAGTATTAGAATATTTAATTGTGATATTTATAATAACACCTGATGTACCACATTATACAAAACATTTAATCATTACAACTTTATGATCTTTAAACAATCATCTGACTTGTTCGAAAAAATTGTAAGACTCCCATTTTCAGAAATACAAAACTTTTATTGCTTACTACTGCCCTCTAGTGAATTAGCAGAAAATCAACAAGACTAAGGTTATTTCCTTTTAGTCATAGTTGTGTCTACTTTTTTTAAAGAAAAAGGTTGCCATCTATATCTATAAAATGTTTTGAGAGAAAACACATAAGTTATAAACATTTCTAATTCCTTTTTATGCTGCCCTTTTCCCTGCATATCACCTTCAATTAGCACGATGACTTCTGACGTATGAACCTTGGATTACAGCAGAGTCAACACCAACAACAGCCTATAGTCTGAATACATCTGTTGTACATACCTGCGACAACCTATTCAATCACACATATGCTGCTATAACTAGTCAGATAATTAATAACATGTTCAATTAATATTTCTCTTTTAATACTGAAACACAGATAGTATTTTCTTTCATTTAACATCAGGGATATCTGAATATATCTTATAAATCACTGGCTAAGGAGAAATCAAGACATAGTTGTCATTACCAGCATATTAACCAATTTGGTCATAACTAGGTACAGTATATTTACTTCACTTAGGTACATGCATTCTAGGCAAAACTAATGAGCTTAATTGTAACTTAAAATGTCTTCTAAGATAGTACTACAATTTGATATTGGAACAAAAACATGTAAGGAGAAAAAGAAAAAAGGGTCATTGGAATAATAACCTTATTATATATTTTCTTGCAAAGAACAGTGAAGTACTTTCTGAGCTTAAGAGAGGTAGTCAGCCAAAGTAGAAACCATATTTTTGAGGTAAACACAAAGATTGACTTTCACGTGACAACATAAAAAACAGCTTAAATATTTACACAATGGATATGTTTAAATCAAGAGTATAACATTCAAGAAAAACTGCACCATCAATCCTCTTGACAGCATAAAAGAATATTGTATAGTAAAATATGGTCACGAATTATCAATCCAAAAACTAATTTGGGTGATTCATACTTGCAATGTGAAGTTCAGGAACACCTTTCCGACTTATTTTACTCACTATTTTCCTTAATATTCAAGCAAGACAGTGATATCATTTTTAAAATATTTACATGAATCTCAGAAATTTCTCACTAAATATAAAATAAAAATGATAAAAAACAGAGCATGGGCATGACTACTTTTATTACCGTGGTATACAAAACAATGGTGCATCTTAAAATCAGTGACACAGATTCAAAGAAATATAGCATTATATAGAAGGCTGAGAAAGTTGACCTTTGAAAGGGACTTCTATTCTCAAAGATTATTAAAACTGATTTTTTACAATAAATTTTGAATCTTTTTCAATCTTATTTTCTTTAATAATTTCTAAAATATACATATAGATTTGCATAATAGCATGCACATAAATGCCATAAACGTAACGAAAGACATTATTTTCAACCATGAGTGAATACAGCAAATGTGAGTAGTCACTGCCTTTATGGGAATTTCAGTGGTACTATGATTTTATATAAAAATGTAATTATTCAACATTCTCCCACTTGGTGGCACCAAAAAATTAAAACATCTACATAAATATTTGGCTCTAGAGGTGAACTGAAAAAGCACCAGATTCCCTTTCAATCTAAATTGAAACAATAGACAAATTAATAAAATGTTTGACATCCTTGACCTAAAATTGAGTAATTGATTATTTGCCTATTTCTTAGTATACAATACAGTAGATAGTCTGGGTAAACTTTAAATCATCATCTAGTTTCTAAACAAAACAATAATGCATACCTAAGAAATTTACATTACAAAAACTTTCAATATGAATGTTAACAGATTCTGTAACAGACACTTTTAAAGTACTTCAAAGTACCAACTTTTCACACTTCAAACTTCTATATCCCAAGAAAAACTATAACTCTTCCACATGCCCCCAACTCAATTCTTAAGCTTTTCAGTAATAACCTAGATAAGACTGCATCTGCCTACCGATAATCAGTACCATTAACCAATGGGTTTTGATTATGTCTTATAGTACTATTTAAATGATACTTATCTACTCATACACCCCCAAGTAATCACCAAGCACTGTGAATGCTTCTATGACTGATTCATCTTTTCATAATCCACATTCTAATTTATCATGATACAACTACCTTCAGCATCAGGTTTACTGTAAAAGCAAGAGAAAAGAGGTGGGAACTTGAGTCTAAACTATATGAAACCATGACTATTCAAGGACTTAAACTACTCACAACTATTTGTTGAGTAGCTAACAGTAAGAGTTAGTGAATTGTTTAATTAAATTCTCACAACTTAGTCAAGTACTATTCTAATTTTAGAGATAAGGAAATTTAGATAGCTAACTAGTTCAAATGAAATGAGAGATTCACATTTAAGGCCCCTCCTGTAAGGTGATAAGAAAAATACATAAAATTAGTGTTAACGCTCTAATTTAAATATATTGTTATATTAGATCCTCTCCTTTAGCCCCAGTAAAAATGGTCCCTTTCTATCCAGTCACCAACTCTTCATGTTTCTGGTGCACAGCCTCAGCACCATCAGAAGATCCTTTTTTCATTCCAGCCCTCTGCATTCTAGAATGATTATTGTGCTTGGTACTATTGACACTACGCAGCTGTGCTTGTTCCTCGTCATCATCCTTCTTAGGATGGTAATTTTATTTTATTTTTTAAAGATGTATTTTTATTTGTAGTACTACTTTATTACTTTAAACACAATAAGCACAGGCATAATTATGATACTTGTTTTAACTGACTACAAAATTAATTTTGTTTCAATTTGAAAATATAAAATATGGTATTCAATCTAAATATTTTTTACATATTGTAAAAATGTAAATATGTAAAATATTTTTTACTTATTGCAAAAATGTAAAAATGTTCCCATAGGAGTTAAGCTTATCTTCAAAGAGTTTTCATAATTTCACACTTTTCTTTTTCCCACTTCCTATCACTCCACAACCTTATAGCTTATTTAATTCAGTCACCTGAGTAATACTATTAAAATGATAGTCCCTATCATTTCCATTTAATACCCTTCAATGACCTCTAAATTCAATCAGAATAAAATCTAAAATCCTAATAATGACCTATTAGGCTCCAAATAACATGGCTTCTATGCCTAAACTTCTGCCATCTCTCCCCTTATTAACTGTGCTCCAGTTACACTGAATTTGCCTCTTTGAATATAGTATATGTGTCCCTACAGCTCAGGAATTTATGCTTCATCTTCTCGCAAGGCTGACTTTCACTATACTCAAATCTATGAAAGAAGCCATTCTTGAGCTTTATGACAAAATCAATTCCCACATTGCCTTACTTGTCTTATTTTTCTTCATAGCATCTACTATTTGACCATTGCAAAATGATTCTGAATCCCTCATTTCTGTATACTTTGCAAAGTCAAGCATGGACTGCCTTTTTGTACAATTTTTCAATGATGTTTATATATAGTAACTTTGAAAGACAAAAATTAGCGGCAAAGTGCAGTCCATTATAAAAGATTCAGTTTCCCTAAGTACAATGTTCTTCTTTTATATGAAAGTCTCATCTGGTACTCTTCACATTGCCAATGGAACTGGGACTCAGAAAATGCTGGTCCTATAGTTACTGGCATTACTGCAAATAATAAAAAAAGTTCTTTGCTCAGGAGTCTTGCATCTTCAGCTACCATCTATGAAACTGTAGCAGGTTGCAAGGAGGCTAATATCTCAGATCTTCTGAGGTTCTTGATGTTGCTTTTACATACTGGATTCCTCTTCTTCATGTATTTCTCTGACTAATTTTTCATCAACTTCTATAGTCTCACTTCCTATAATTTTCAAAGCAAGACCTCCAAAAGTCCCTAAAAGGCATTTTTTTAATTTTCATTTAATGGAAAACACTGACCATGGAAACACTGGCAAACCCAAGGTTAACATAAAAAATCAAATCCAAACTAGCAATCAGAATTTAGCAATCTACCTCCTTTGTTAGTGACTTGTGATGGCTTCTTAAAAATAAATAACTTCTGGCCCTCCCTGGTGGCGCAGCGGGTTAAAGCACAGCACTGAGAATCTGAAGCCACTTCCTCATGAGTTCAATTCCCGCCTGCAGCCTGCCCCGGAGGAGACCACATGGCGAGCCAGACCTCTCCTGACTCGCCCGCTGCTCCCCTCAGCAGTGTACTTCGTAGATCTGCCTATTCTGCTCCCCACTCTGTCTCTGGTGAAGCCTCTCACCGCCCCTGAGCCTCTGGCCTGTACCCCAGTTCTGTATGCACAAATAAATAAATAAATCTTTAAAATAAATAAATAAATAAATAAATAACTTCTATAATACACATATGGAAGGATAATTACCCAGTAATGCTGATATCACATGACCCTCTATAGCAACACATGAAAAAACAAAAATGATAATGAATAAAAAAGAATATCAAACAAGCATCTGAAAGCTATTATAATGCCTGTAATTTAAATTCTTTTATTATATGATACTTGAATAATTATATAACAAAACCAGGCTCTGCTATCACACTAATATCCCATTTCTTTTATATTGAATACACACTGGAACAATATTCAAAGATGTTTTCATTATAATCAGTATCTAGCATCTTTGCCAGAGTCCAGATGCTTTAATATAAACTCCATTAATTTTAAAAGTTCGAGATAATTTATAAAGTTGCCTGTGTTAACTCTTTTAGCAAATAGGTAAGAAACATTTAGTACTGGTTTTTCGTCTATAACTTAAGCAAAAAAGCAGTTTGTACACAAGTTCTATTATAACACCTATCTACTTCCAGAAAGACTAAAACTAAATCAGTCTCTGAAAGTATGAAACTAGATTATATACATTATAATATTAGATTACAGATACTAGAGAAATACTAAGCTATGTTCACTATTTGATTTCAAAAACTATATATCCTCAAGTAAGATAAATCCACTGAATCATTAACAAATATTTATTTATGGTGCAGAGTGAAAAAACACTTTCAAGATTCACAAATTATAAGTTTTGTTTCCAAATACTAAATTTCACAAGTATAGATAAAATGTGACTAAGTAGTTAAAATTTAACTCTCCTTTTGAGTGAACAAAACATAGGAAAAATGAAAACACCAAAATACTAAAGAGAAAAACAATTGAACTGAATATATGACTAAGATTTACAAATTAAAATGCTTCATAGAGTGAATCTTTAATTTTACATCAATTGTCACCACTGTACTTACTGTGTAAGTTATAGCTGCCAACATTCCAATTAAAGTCAAAGAACTAATGGAAAATGATAACGCAGCTAAACCATCTGCAAAGAAAGAAAATGCTGTAAAAGGGTATACGTACATTATGTATATATTATTTTAATGTTTATATTGAACAAATCAATTTAAAAATATAAAAACTGGCCCTCCCTGGTGGCGCAGCAGGTTAAAGCACAGCACTGAGAATCTAAAGCCACTTCCGCATGAGTTCGATTCCCGCCTGCCCCAGAGGTGACCACATGGCGTGGCAGACCTCTCCTGACCCGCCCACTGCTCCCCTCAGCAGTGTACTTCGTCGATCTGCCTGTTCTGCTTCCCACTCTGTCTCTGGTGAAGCCTTTCGCCGCCCCTGAGCCTCTGGCCTGTACCCCAGTTCTGTATGCACAAATAAATAAATCTTTAAAAAATATATATATATATAAAATCTGGGCTTCTAACTCACTCCAAAGAAATATATTAAGTCATCTATGAAGTGCTAACTCCAAATATAGTGTAATTAGTATAATTTATAAAATTATGTTTAAGGCAGAATATTTAATAGGCCTGATGGAAATAACTACAAGTAAAGCAGCAACTTATTTCTCAGCAATAAGATCAGGTGCATAAATCCTGACAGTCCAGTGTTTGTAGATGCCAGGCCTGCTATCCTTATTCTTGCTAGTATCAGCAAGATATTAATGGGCCTCAATTTACAGGATGAAATCTTAAGTGGAAAGCAAGAAAATTAAGAAGTTATACAGCAAAGAGTCCAAGATTTAATTTAATCATCATTTAATACTCTATCTGAGCAAAGAAAAAGTGCTGATCAAACAATGTACTGTACCTATTAAAAAGAATAAATACAAAAATAGTAAAAACTCCAGCATAGTATTTATAAGGAAGTATTTTAGGCTTCTTTGAAAATAAAGTTACTATATTTTGATGAAATTCTGAGTAGTAAGGAACATATTCTTACTTGATATCAGTCTTTAATGTGAATAGCATTTTTTTTAATGATTAAAACAGCTTTCTTAACCTTACCTTCTAAAACTGGCTATTACTTTTTCTTCTCAAAACCTAGATTTAGTTAAACCTTAATTATGTTAAAGATAACTTATGGAAAAGCAATTCCAAAGTATTTTGGTGAGGTAAATAAATTAATATTAGTGATAACATTTACATGAGACTTCTATAATTTATATATTCCACACAGACTAATCATAATCAAACACCAATGTAAGGTTTGCTCATTAATTAAAAATTAAAACCAATATATCTAGCACAGTTCTTCAACAAATTATTCTATATTATCCTAAGTGAATCAAAGGCTACACAGAAATTATAAGGTCTTTGCTGTTAAGATTAATTTTTCTTTTCACTATAATAATTTTAAGCTGAAACCAAGAAACTAGCTATATAGTAGTTATACGGACAAATGTGACACAATTTTTAATTTGCTTAACATTCTTTCAATCATAAACTAAAGAACTGAGATTAAATTAGTAAGAGTAACAAAAGACTCCTCAAAAAAGTACCAAGATTCATAAAACATGAATTACTATGGATAGAATTGTTTAAAAGAATACTTACGACTACTTCCAAGTTCTTCAAGCAGGAATTTCACTTTTTCCCACTCAGTAGAATTTTTGTTACTGGGAACATTCAATGGAACAAAAGCACTACAAAGGAGAAAATAAAGAATTAACAAATAAAATCTGCATCATGTCAGAGGGATGAGAGGAGTTTCTTACCTATGGTAAGAAATATCACTTAATATTTAATATTAAGTACACAAATATCACTTATTATCTTTATTACTAGATGCAGTGTAATCAGTTTCCTTGGTAATCCTATTTGTTTTTGCTTTTAAAAATGTTTTGAGGAATCATAGGCCAGAGATGGTAAAAAAAAAAAAAAAAAGGTACTTGGTACAAAAAAAGATAATCTTTGTATGACATCGGATCAGAGTAGAAATATACATGATATTTATAAAATGTTTTCAATATGCATAGAAAAGACCAGAAATAATAATTTCAATGTGCATAGGTGGAATGATGGATAGAGAGATGGAAAGATAGTCACTTTATTATCTAGCCCAGACCAATAAACAAAGAAAACATTAAGGAGATTAAGATAATGGGTTGGGTATCCCTTTAGTTGATGATACAGAGAACCAAACATGAATGTCAAAAACAGTTTATTCTATTTCCTGTCTAAGCTATTTACTGTTAGTAAATCAGTAAGCTCTATTCTCTTTTAAAAAGAGGGAATACTGAATAAGCTCAATAATATATCAGGGTATTTGCTCTGATAATGTATGCAAGTGAAATAGAGTAATTCTACCTTATTATTTTTTTTTTAGTTTTAAAAGCATTCACTCCTTGGCCCTACTGACACTTTTCATTTATATAAAAAGAAGGGCCAATTATGTCAGGTGGTCATGGAAATTTCAAACTAGTGCACACATCAGCTGACCACATTCTTCTTTGTCTTGATGACTTCTTACTACTTTAAAAGAGAAAAGTGATTAGTCACAAAACTAGAGCAATAAATGTAAAAAAAAAATTCATTATTTGTTGCTCTGTTTATAATAAAAAATAATGAAGTAGTACAATGGAATTTAAAAAAACTCTCACACATTAGAATTCTATAATGATTTTATTAGAATTTTATAATTTTTCAATTTTTAGCAATTGAACAAAAATATAAGCTAAGAAAAAAATACCTACATAAATCTGTTTCATGTGGACTGAGTTTTTAGATGTCCTAGCAAGTATTTTTTGTGAATAATGGAAAAAACTTTGTTTATAAATATCCTTTATTTTGTGAAGATCTATTAAGAAATACAGATTACAACTATGTGAAAATAGATCATTATCAGTGCCATTTTCAGGTAGTCAGAGGACTGTCCAGTGGTAGAAGAAAAGTAACACTCTTGATGACACATTCATGTTCAAAGCAGGGATATTTAACAAGCGTTCAGTTTTAGTAACACCAGAGGGATTTTTGTACATCCAACGAAAAACAAAAATATTTTTAAAGGTTGAGCAGCCCAAACTATTGTCACAATGACTTTAAGAAAATATTTATTTTAAAACTATCCAACAGAGTTAACATTTTGGCGCTATCATTTTAGGTAGAAACTAATAACAAAAGCAGATTCTACAGCTACCTTGCTACTGGGATTTTATAATCTAAGAAATAGACCTAAAATATTTTTATATGAACTAAGAGGAACATCCATAAACAGAACTCAAAAGAGTAGGTCCTAAGCAATACTGTTCGTAGCAGTCAATGTGCAAAGGCACAAGTCAATCGGCACAGACCGTGGCTTTAATTCTGGAAGAACTTGCTGAACTAGAGTTACCAGAAGGCAGAACAGCAGCTGACAGGCACAGGAGCATTTCAGCTTTTGAATAACCAAAAGGAGGAAACCAACAAGCACTGGCTAATTATAAGGCTTGTAGACAGAGAACTATAGAGAAAGGAAAATCTACTTATATATAAACAACTAAAATTATAGTCTTGAATACAAATAAATCAGTTTTTATGGTGATGACACTAAAGTAATCCAGAGTTATAGATAATGAGGTATGTGTAATAGAAAGATACTAACAATTTCTTAATTGTTTCCCTCTCAAAAAACAGAATCTGAGAAGCTCAGCCTTCAAAGACACACAAAACTGCACAAGAGTGCCCTCAACCCTTCTGAAAATACTAAAACTGAAAAACAACTTATAAGATTGGATATTTTATATCCTATCTGACTCTCTGTATTAGCTTAATATAGATCACTCCTGTCTTAAAGAAAAAGCAAGCAAATTTTAACAGATATTAAGTTGAAATAAATTCAACAGAACTGAAAAATTAGATTTTTACTTCCTATACTTTTAATCACCTAATCAAGTCATACTTATCTTTCAAATAGTATATTTGTTTCTTCTTTTTCTTTGTAACTGTTTTACTTTGGATCCTCGGTTCTTACCTGAACTGTTGCAATGGTTACCTATTCTGTTCTACCACTAACAATTCACTATTTCAACCCAACAGTCAAATGTCCAATTTAATGAATCCCTCAGACGGATGGAGCAGCATATCACTGTCTGGGGTAGCCCGGCCAGGCTTCTCACTGCTCTAGCACACTTGGACTTCAAATAACTTTACCTTGTTCTGTGCCATGCTCAATGTGTTATTAGAATGGTTATTAGAAACTGGAAGAAAGAAAACCCTTGTTATGAAGTGACAATAATTTTCACTTTTGAACTATTTTCTAGTGCTCAATAGATGGCAAAATTTGTAAGAGATGAAACTGGTTATTTTGCTGAGTAAAGTATTGAAGGAGCAGCTTGGTTTCTTCTTATCACTTATAATAAAACAGAAATTGAAGACATTGTAAAACAATTAACAACCAGCCTAACAGTACTGCAAAAAAGGAGAAAGACTAAGAGTGTGATTGAACAACCACTTGATAAAATTAGTATGGGTTGGAACCATGAATTTAATCAGCAACCTCAGCAGAAACCAGGAATAGATAGAATTATACAGCAGAGACACTGCCAATTTGAGGGAAAGGGTACTGAGATGGACAAAACACAGAAAAGTTATGAGGCTTCTGGGCTGCTGCAGGACTAAATGAGAGTTATTCTGCTAAAAATAGGCACTATCCTCTAAGAATAAGGTATTAACAGCTCCAAAAATAATTCATTTACCCTATGTGCTGCAATTCCTACCACAGGCCTATCTGACAAGGCTTCTTCTGCCTGTTTCAGAAGGTGGGGTTCCTCCCTCAATTTTAACTGATAGGTAGTTGCTGCAAACAGCCAAGGAGACAGGACCCACAGTCAGAACTAGTCAGTCTGCTGCACAGGACTGTAATGGTGACCCTGCAAACTACCCGTCAGTGTGCCTGGAAGGCAGAACATCTAACCAAAGATGAGTACTCTTGAACCATAAGATCTAATGGAATTTACTTTGATAGGCTTCAAGGTTGTCTGGAACTCATTAATTTCTGATTTCTTTCTTTTAGAATGGAAATGTCTATCGTATGTGTCCTTCCATTGTGTGATGACCACACATAACTTGTCCGGTTTCACAGGTTCACTCTGGAGCGGCATTTTGACTCAAGATAAATTATACTTCAGGTCTTACCCATACCTAATTTAGATGACAACTCGAAGAATTTGATCTCAAAATTGATGCTGGGCTAATACTTTAGAGGTTGCTGGGATGGGGTGAATGTGTCCTTTTGTGAGAAAGACATGAATTTAGGGAGGGTATAGAGGGCAGAATGCTATGAACAGTATGTATCCTCAAAATTGAAGCCCTAATTTCCAATGTAAAAGTATTTGAATTTAGGGCTTTAGTGAGGTAATTACAATTCAATGAGTTCATAAAGGTGGGACCCCCTAGTCCAACAGGATTGTTGTGCTCACAAAAACAGACACCAGAAAACACTACCTTCCCCAGTAAGAGGACAGAGGAAAATCACATGTGGATACAAGAAGACAATTGTCAACAAGTCAGGAAAAAGCTTTCTCATCAAAAATCAAACTTACCAGCAGCTATATCACAAACTTTTATTTAACCTCTGAAACTGTATGAAAATAACTGTTTGTGGTTTATGGTGGCCTAAGCAAGCTATACAGGTTGTCTTTTTTCTTCATCTAGTCCGATGACCAAGTTCCCGGCCTTCAAACTGCAATTCAAATATCACTCCCTCTTAGGTCTTCCTGATTTTATAAGACAGAGTAGGAACTTGCTGTTCCATCATTAAAATATGGCATATACTACTTATTAGCGCACTGATATATTATTGTTCATGATTTACTTGTGTCATCCCCAATGTGAACTTTGAGGATAGATCATGATTCTATATCTGTAACCCAACACCTTGCACATTACCCACCATCCCAACACATGTTCCAAAAATTCTAGTTGCATTAGTTAATCCTAGATCCCAATTTTCTACCCCAAAATTATCTACTATTTTATAGGCAAAAATACATCATTTTAACACAAATAAGAGTAAGTTATCTACAAGAAAATTCCAGCAACTTTAATCAATAATTTAAATATACACCTTGTTCAAATATTTACATAAGGTAACAATAAGAACACTGTTCACGATAATCAAAACACTACTAGTTTAGTAGCAAATGTCAAGCTTGAGAAGTCCAGGAGTCCATGTATTTTCCATGTATCAGTGACCCTATCAAGTGACTCAACTTATCAGTGAGAAAATAGAGGCCAATTAGAAAGAAATCCTTTTATTTGCTCAGCAAGTCTATCAACCTACCTGTACTTCTTTTCACCTTATCTTCCACAATTCCTCTTATAGCAATGGTGGAAATGCCCTTCTATCTTAATCAAAATGATCCACCTGCATGGGTGCTTTCGGTGCTATGCCTTCTCACCTGGTGCCACAGACATTAATTTAACTATAAAGAATTCTCAAACTGAGAAAGACAGGAGGCATCACAGGGAATAATATTTAGCAATTTATCTTATCTCACATTTTACAAAAGACAATAGTATCTAGCCCTCATTGGTCCCTCACTGGAGCTAGATACCACTACTGGAATAACAGACATTTTCTAATGCCTGACCCAGTTGCTTACTCAGTATCTCTTCCTGAGCGCCCAGTAAATTTGACTAAAACTGAGCTTTTGCTATTCCCCCACCTACTCCTCCTCCCAATTTATCCATCTCAATGATAATGTGCACAGGTACACATAGCCACACCTTCTAATATGGTAAAGAATTTGGCCTAGTTCAAAAAGAGGTCTGAAGTTTGCCTGGTTTAGGAGGCAATCTATATTATACCTGATATTAATATCTTTGTTTAGGGCGGGGCTGGCTACATCAGAAAGAACAGTCATGTGTTAGGGGGCATGGAGGGCTTAACTCCAGGTACATCTTGAATTTCTATACTTTCATACTCCATGTATCTAGTCTATCAGAAAATCCTGCTGGTTCTTGCTTCAAAAGATAGTCACTATCAAATCATAGTGTTACCATTCTTTAAGCTAGGTTATTGTAATAGTTGCCTAACACTCCTATCACTCACTGATTAAATTAAAAACGACAACAACAAAACCTCCAAGGAGTTCCCATATTCCTCAGAATAAATGCCGAAGTTCCTACAATGAATAGCCTACAATGCCCTACTCGTTTTGGCAGTTCTACTCACCTAGCCTCCTTCCCGAATGTATGACCCAAGAGAAAGAAGAGTTGTTTACTAACAGCTAATTCATGAATTCCTTATATAGCATCTGGAACAGCACAGGTACACATAATCATCTGAAAAGTGAATAAATGTTGTAGTTCAAGATATTCCTTCAGAAACAGTTTATTAAAAGTGAAACAAACCATTGGTTGCAAGCACACTAACAATAAATAGCCATTTTTAACTACAACATTCATTCATTTTTCAATACTTTACTAAACTGAAGAGATGCCTACATTATGCCAACAAGTAGATTATCAAAAATTACATGAAGTTTAGTCAAATCTGTGAAAATTTACAGCAGGGAGTTTTCTATAGGGTGAGGTGCATTCTGCAGATATTTCTGCACATAAAAAAATGTCAAAAGAATGATAGAAAAGGTAAATTTTTGAGGATCTGATTTTTTTCCTTTCTTTTGCATTTTGTTTTATTCTCTCCTAGAATGTTCTGAGAGTGTTTTTATTTGTATTATTATTAAAATAATGCAGTTTCCATTTTCAGAGAGGTGGAAAAAAATTAAGACTTACCCAACTAAAAGAAGAAGTGCACAAATCACAGCAAATCCCAAAGTATACTTGAATGCCGTTTTTATTTGCTGGATATCAAGGGGGAAAATACCACTTTAAAATATAAAATACTTATACTACAAAGTAAAATCACTTTCACATCAAATGTATACTTATATTAACCTTTGTGGTGCTTCCCTGTTGAAAAAGTTTAAGAAAAATAATGTATGTAGCACATCTTGGGTATTTTGCAAACTGCACTAGATTAGACTTTGAAGTCTTTTCAATGGTTTTGACCTTGTGAAAAAAGGCATATCCAATGCATAATTAATTCTCACTGGCATCTTTAGTAAAATCATCAGACCAATAAATTATTCCCCAAAACAGAGAACAATAATGTCTTCTACTCCAGTTCACTAAAATGATCTATAATAATTGCAAAAAATAGTGTATTACCTATAACATATTTATACAAGTATTCAAACATATTACATATGTTACCTTCACTTTCAACAACCCTGAGATAGGTATTCTTTTCCTACTTCACATATGAGGAAGCTGAGGCTGAGAGGTCAAATAATTTGTCCTAAGTTACAAATGTGTTAAGTGAATTACTTGATTAAACAGGGACTTGAAACTCGGAATTCAGGTCTTTAAATCCATGCTTTGCATGGTGCCATAATCCAAAAGTAAAGAAAATCACAAAGCTGGACTTTCTAAATATAGATTTAAAAAAAAAATTAATCTCAAAGGAAAACTTAGGGGAAAAAATAAAACAAACACCTAGACTTTTAGTCTAAAGTAAATCTCTTAAAAATACCTTTTAAAATTTAAATCCAGGCTTCAAAAGCATACAATTTGTTCACAAACAAGTGAAACAGTCTTTAGGAAAAAAAACTTAAAGGTAAGGAGGTTAATCTTAAATTTAACCAAAGTAGGGGGAAAGATGAACTTTAGAAGTGATTAATGAAAGCATATATATTGTTGGATATTTTTTTAACTTCAAATTTATAATCAGCAACCTTTTCTTACATATCTTGGTTTTTTAAAGTTATATAGTTTTTGCAAACAGTAATTCTGACAATTGTATAAGTTATCTAGATACCATTTTTTTCCACTCTAGCAAGTTACATTACCAACATTACAACTCTGGGAATCATTTAAAATATTTCTGATATACTAGCTCCTCATTTTAATGCAAATGTGTTAAGGTTTGCATGGTTAAGCATAATACTGGCTTTTGAGTGGATATATTTAATTTTGCATTTAAGTACCTAAATGCAGGTATAAAACTCCTGTAATTCAATAAAAAAAAAGTATTCTGTTTAATATATTAATCTGCTATGCATTAACAGATTCTAAACTACCCATGCAATCTAGAAATAGGTCCAACTCAGTTATACTACATAAGTGTACTTTTAAGATACTCTTAAATTCTTTTTGTTAATATTTTAGTTAAAATTTTCATACCAATACTTACTTGATATTCCTATTCTAGCGGATCACATCCTGCTCTCTAACTATTGTCTCCACCTACTTCCACCCTATAACAGCAGAGTGGAGTTGTTGGGAAGCAAGGTATCACCACAAAACTTAAAATATTACCTCCAGTCTTTTGCTAATCCTTGCTCTAAAATTACACTAAAACAATAATTACAATTCATAAGTGCTATTAAGCACTTGAAATATGGTAGTTTGAACTGTCTCTTTTTTACTTATTTTAATGTGGTTAGTAGAAGATTTTAAAATTCCTATGTGGCCCACATTATATTTCCTTCCACTAATCAATACTGTTTCTGAATAAATTCAGTCATCAAGAAAGAACCATTTTTTTGTCTTGAGACCCCTAAAGATACTTACATTGCATTTATTAGTATCATCATCATCTTTTTCTTCATAGTAGAAGTAGACAAAAGGGATCCAGAAGAATACACAGAATAATATAACAGAATATAAAGCTGTGGAAATAAAAACATGGGTTCTGAGTATATATGAACTAGGTGACTGAGATATACAGATATGTATATATATACATCTCAAATATATATATGCATGTGAGATGGGAAAGTAAAAAAAATTAGATCTAACATTCCACAAACCAAATTCACTAGCCTCTCTGATTCTTTATACTAATAACTATGTTTATGTCATATCTTGGTCTATCTTCCATTGTAAAAAAAGAAAAAAAAACAATATTACTACTACTCAATAACAAATCTTAATTCAAATTAGCAATGGGCAATTTTTATTAATAAAAATGAAAAAATGCACCAACGGTGACTGGCAGTTATGAGTTCTACGTACTCACTACAGTACTAAAAAATTTCTTTGTACTTAATGAACTTTATCTTTTTACATTATTCCAACTTAAAACTAAGTATTGTTGACATAGTCACAGCAGTAAGTTAGAAATAAAAAAACAAAGGAGCTATAATCGGTAGTGTCCTTTTCATACAATCTCCCCAATCTAAGTTTAGACTATGCAATATTATCAAACTAATCTTACACAAATAAGGATAAAGGTAAAAACGATAAAATTAAACTCAAAGTTAAGTGATAGGAATTACTGTTCAACTGTTTTAAAATAATGCTAAAATATTTTAGTTCAATAAGGAAATGACAATCTGAACAATTCAAAGATAAGTATATTTAACAATAAATATAAACAACTCCTTGAGACTTAACAAAGCTACCTAAAAAATGTGCTTCCAAAATCTTCTGTGTATATTTGCATATACATAAGCTTATGGAAAATGATATCAACATAATTATATAAAACAGTTACAAGTGATAATCCTTAAGTCCCTTATAAAAGCAAGCACTCATTAGTAATGCGTAATGAAACCTCAGTTAATGAGTTATGGTATTTGTACATGATCTTAATAATTGCTAGACTATTTCACTTACCTGGAGGCCACTTTGATAGGCCCCACTAAGTGCAATATAGCTTAAAAAAAAAAATCTCTGGGCAAGTAGGGCTCTATATAACCAACAGAAAGGTCAGAATTAATTTATTTATACTGAGCAATCAAGAAATGAGTGATTTTTGAGGTTTCAGATATTTAATGAAATGCATGTAGTCTTCTATAATTATAGGAAACTAATAATAATACTAAATTTTTAAAGGTAATGAATTTTGGTATTTCTACAACAAACCAGAGAACAACCAGTGTTAAAATTTCACTACAAGTCTAAGAGCTGAAGAAAATAAACTTATATTAAAAAAGTAACTACAACTAAATTAAACATAATAGGGACAAGACTGTAAATCATTCTAATACCATACCAATATTATGGTTAAAAATTAAGCAATTTGCTGGCCCTCCCTGGTGGCGCAGCGGGTTAAAGCACAGCACTGAGAAGCTAAAGCCACTTCCGCATGAGTTCGATCCCCGCCTGCCCTCGGAGGAGACCACATGGCGTGGCAGACCTCTCCTGACCGGCCCACTGCTCCCCTCAGCAGTGTACTTCGTTGATCTGCCTGTTCTGCTCCCCACTCTGTCTCTGGTGAAGTCTCTCATTGCCTGTACCCCAGTTCTGTATGTACAAATAAATAAATCTTTAAAAAAAAAAAATTAAGCAATTTGCACAGAATAGGACAAACCCTGAATTACTACAGCAATGGTTAGTAAACATGACAAAAACTTGGGTAATTTGGAAAATGCAATAAGGTTTGGCTTCCACCTCAGTAGCTTGCTTGTGGTCTTCACTTTTAGATAACCAAAGTGTACTATCAACAATCTTGTATTAAAATCATGTTCAATTAGCATAATGAGGTATAAAACTAATTTCTATAACTCAATAAAATACAAATAACAGTTATTAAAGCTGAACAAGATCTTAAGCTGAAAATTCACCAAAGAGATACATAAAAAGTCCAAGAGCCCATTTTAAAAGGTGATCATCATTAATCATCAGGAAAATGCAAACTAAACAAGTAGCAGGGACCCAGTAAAATGACTAAAATGAAAATGGCAATACCAAATCTTGCCAAGAAGGAATGCAAATGATACAACACTGTATAAAACAAGCAAGTTGTTTCTCACATTATACTTATATATACCATTTGACATGATTCTATTACTCTAGCAATGAAGTGCAGTAACATATGCAAGATGTTCCTACTTGAGTTACAGAATCCAGGATTTGTAATACTGATATATTTGCCTGCCTGATCAACTTTGATTATCAAAACTACAATACCTGCCTCTTCCCTCCAAAAGCAAGTATTCAGCATAAATTGTATGTTTCCCATAATCTCAGCATGCTGGTACTGCACACTTAGCTGCACAAAGCTAACTTACCCATTTGTGAATATCCTCAGCACTAGGTTCTCAGGTGCTGGTCAATGGTCAGTGATATAAACAGGCCCCTCTCCAGATATAAAAGTTAAACAATACCAGGTATGCTGCATTAACTTATAACACAAATGTCCATAGCAACATTATTCATAATGAGCAAAACATGGAAATGATTAAAACAAATAAGCAAACTGAGTGACAAATTAATGTAAAAGATAGCAATAAAAAAGAATGAACAGTAGATTTGTGAGATACAGATGAATCTCATAGACTTAGTACTTATTAGTCCAAATACAAAAGGACATTTTCTAAAGTTCTAGAACTGGCAATATTAATCCATTATCAGGCAACTCAAAATAGTGGGCAGGACTGTTACTAATTGTAAAGAAATACAAGGACATATGAAAATACAAACTCTTTTGTTGCTCAATATCCACAGGAAGAACTAGGAATATCCAGAAAAAGATATCAATACTTTAGACACTTTGCCATACTCCCTCATCAATCTGTAACTCATTGTCAGTTTAGAGCAACTGCTCTAAATCTTTATTTCCCTGACTCCACAACATTCTAAGTTATCTTTCATAATATGACTTCTTTCTCAGGGACTTCAGTCATGTGTTCTTTATTTAGCCCACAATTCTTTATTTAGCCCACAAATGTTAACCTGTGAAGATGAATTAACATTTTTATATTTTAGATCAGTTCTAATACCAAGTTGGGCATCTATATCTATAAATGAAAAAAAGATAAAATTGCTGCTACCACTAACAGGAAATAGAAAAATGCTTCTTTTAAAGTTCTACTTCAAACTGATGCCATTTGCAAAGGAAAGTATTCATAACTTCAACAGTGTGGAAACACTTATATCCTAACAGCTTTATAAAGTATGTTTTTACTTGTGTTTTATTAAAAGACTGACACTATCGTTTAACAGATTATTTAACAGGACAGATCCACTAACATCCACAAAAAAGGGAAAAATATGAAAACTTTATGTTCACAAAAATTAAACTTATAAAACAAGTTCTTTTTTAAAAACAAGCTATCAAGAACTAGCAAAACTAAGTAAACAAAAAACCACTATTTCAGAGAATACATATGAAGCAAAAAAATCTACTTCTAAAATAACTACTGTTAAACTTTAACATGAAAATTAACTTTGTTATATCAGGTTTTTGAATTTTTAGATAGTCTCCAAACTATCAATGAAAATAGCTCATTTAAGTCAAAATACTATGATAAAGAAATACACAGTAAAAATTAGAGAGTATGTTTAGTTATTACAAAGCTTTTATAGCTTTTGCTATAAAGGGCCAAAGTATAAATACACTCTGGAAACTTTAAAAGCTTTCTAAGATTTTCCCATTTACCCAACAAAAGAAATCTGGAGTCAAAACTGATAGCTGTTTATCCGATACCCATTTTCCTGTCAGCTGACAATCACCTTTTTCTTTTTTTATTTAATGTTGTCTTTCAATCCTTTCCTCCTACTTCCGGCCTTAATGGATAAATGACAGTTGAAATACTAGTCACCACATTAAGAGTTTGCAGTGTTCTTAAGATGGAAATCACATGTAAGAATAGAAAGCAACAAAACAATGCCAACACACTGCCATACCATACTTGTAGCCTATCTCCAGACTTGATTCAAGTAAGACTGAAAAACTACTGTGATATTTAAGTTGTATATTTTCAATCTGTTAGTTGTAGTTAGGTATAATTCCTGAAACAGAATCTAGTACCAGAAATGGGGGAACCCAAACATTAATTGAGTATCCTGAATTCTTAATGATGAAGGTTGAGTATAACATTTCAATTAATTTTGCTACAAAACAAGGTAGCATCAACAGGAACCAAAGAATCCCCTGGAATACACTTCTCTTTACTTTCCCTGTGTAGCAATAACTGTACTTCCCTAGTAATCAACAACAATCACTTAAATTAACATAGTCACTGTATTGCCTATTGATTCAGGAATAGAGAGACCAAATTTGCCAGGCAGTAATCATAGCTTCTAATTCAATTAAATCACTGGTTTATCCTTGCTGGAAGAACTGTCCATATATTAAGAATTTTAAACCAGCAGAACTCAGCCGAAAGGACAGAGGCAAAAGTTTTGTAAGCAGTTCATTAAGAATAATTGTAATTAGCAGGAGTATAATGGACCAGGTGGAAAATAACAAAAATAATGAACAACCATATACCAGAGACATTTTGTGGGGGTGGAGTGGGGAATGGGATCAAAAACGGGGTGGGGGGAGGGAAATGCATGGGATTATGGTGATGGCACATGGGTGACTTGGTGATGGGAAACCCGCGGGGATTACAATTGAGATGGAAAAAAAATGTACAAAATGATGTAAAAATAAACTTTTGTAATAAAAAAAGAAAAAGAATAATTGTACTGCCATGTTCACTTCTACCCCTCAGTTGCCATTAACACGTATTCGGATTGTGGGAGAAAGAGACCATCTACTGCTTATTGGCCCACAATTAAAATAGAAACATAGCACTTCTCAATTCAGTTTATGAAAGTGGCAAAATTGGTACTCAAACCTAATAATAATTTTTTTTAAAGGCAGATCAGTTTTCACTGCAAGTCAATTTTTAAGAGGATTCTAAGCAAGATAGTAGCAAATCAAATAATAAACTAA